CAGGACGAGGGGGAATGGGCTAAAGTTGCGCCAGGGGAGTTTTAGGTTAGATGTTAGGAAGAGCTTCTTTACTGAAAGGGTTGTGAGGCATTGGAACAGGCTGCCCAGGGAGGTGGTGGAGTCACCATCCCTGGAAGTCTTCAAAAGACGTTTAGATGTAGAGCTTAGGGATATGGTTTAGTGGGGACTGTTAGTGTTAGGTTAGAGGTTGGACTCGATGATCTTGAGGTCTCTTCCAACCTAGAAATTCTGTGATTCTGTGATATTCTTTTAATAAATCCTATTTTTTTTATTTAATCCTAATTTGAATCCTGAGCCATTTATAACACTCCTAATTGGTTTTCCTCCACAGCTTCGCCCATAATTCTCTGCCAATTAACTCTTCCCACTATCCTTCTCTCCCCTCGTTCATCTTCCCTATCCTTAGTCTTACGATGTTCTTGCTCACTGCCACGTTCTTCCTTCCTTTCGCTCAATTCCAGCGTAGCACGATCTCCCTCCGGTGAAACGGCCTCTTTCCTCCTTCGCGTAACCGTTACGGAGCCCCAGCACGGAGGACCGGGAACCTTGCTCGTACTAAAAAGCAAGGTACTGTCTTCCCCGGCACCTGCCGCCGACACCCCACTCTCGGAACCTGACTCACCCTTTCCTCCATTCAATCTATCAGATGCCACCGCTGCCAAGTTCCTTTCTACCTGATATCGTTTTATCGTATTTATCACTTCTCTCCACGGTTTCATCAATTTCTTTGCTACCTTGTCATCATCTATTACCATATCCCAGAGTACATCCCCTAAATTTCTTCAAGTGGCTACTTCAAACACTGACTCCGTACTTGTGAAACATGATTTTGTTCGACCGATCGCAACTAGTCCCGCTAGTTGTTTGCAGTCGACTCCCCATTTTTCTAAAAAGCGCTGTAATAAATCTAGGGCTACTTCGTCCTCCATTTTCCTAAGATTTTTGCCGGCACTAATTTCCTATGATGTCAGCCTGCACTATGGCAATAACCTGCACTATGGCAAAATAACCTCAGCCTGCACTATGGCAAAATACACAGCACAATCACACATACAGAGGCCTCTAGCACATCTCAATCTCAATCATACCACAATCTCAATCATACCACAAGAATATAGTTTAGAATGATAACCAAGCAAACAAGTATTGTCTCTCACAGTGTTCTTGCTCCTGCGGTGAGCAGCTGAGAGTGGAGTCCCCTCTCCCGCAGGAAGTCAATCTCAAATGTCCCGGAGCACACCGCGACCACTGCAATGTCCCGCGTTTTCCGCGGCTCCATTTTCCCGCGTCTCACCATGAGTCCTGTGTCCAGGTCGGTGCGTAGAGTGTTTCCGGGTCAGTGTCCGGCGTCCACCAGGTCTGTCCGTGTCTCTCGTAATTGGCCATAGCCCTGCAGCGTCAGTCAGTGCGTGTACCTCAGGTTTCCCGTCACCGCTCCGATGTTGCGCCGCCGCTCTGATGTCCCGCGCCGCTCCAATGTCTCGCGGCGCTCCGATGTCCCGGCGCTGCTCCGGCATCCCGCTCCGATGCAATGTCCCAGCGCCGCTGGTCTCCCTGAGCTCCGATGTCCCGGCGCCGCTGGTGTCAGCCTGTTTGGGTCTCTCCTGTTCAGGTTTGTTCGGGTCTCTCCTGTTCGGGTCTCAGCCTGTTTCGGCGCCATTTGATAGAGGACGTTGCAGGAAGCACGGCTGAAAGCACAACAGACACCAGTAGAGTCAGATCATGCTCCATTTTATTGCCCAAATAGCCTAACTTTTATAGTGAACTTAACAGGGGCGGACAGTGTTTCACACACGATTATTGGTCAAAAGCACTCAGACAAACAACTACAAGAAAACAACCCCACCTACAAGAAAACAACCCCCTTGTGATTAGCAGTCACGTAGACCTTGTCCTTGAAGCCAGCTGCTGGTAACAATATTTTTCTAAATTCCTCAATTGGGCGATGTGGGAATCATTGTCATGGGAGCTTCTCATAGTTACCCTGGTAGCTTGGTTTGCTCAGCTACAGCAGACCATGAGATTTTCTAAGGCCTACTCCTGGTTGCTTAAGGCAAGCTCAGATCGAACAATTGTTCCACAGACTCATGTCCACGCCCTTTGTGCCAATTCCCAACAACTGAGTACTGAAAGATTCCTTCGCCTCAGCTTTGAGTAGTGAAAGACCCCTTTACGTCAGCTTTGAGTGAGTACTGAAAGACACCTTTGCGTCGGCTTTGAGTGAGTACTTAAAGACACTTAAGCCTCAGCTTTGAGTACTGAAAGCTGCTTTTCGCTCAGCTTTGAGTAACTAATGGAAGACGCCTTTGCGTCAGCTTTGAGTGGTATTGAAAGCTGCCTCTGCCTCGGCTTTCAGTACTGAAAGACGCCTTTGCCTTAGGTTTGAGTGACTACTGAAATCTGCCTTTGCCTCAGCTTCGAGTGAGTACTGAAAGCTGCCTTTCTCTCAGCTTTGCGTGACTACTGAATGCCGCCTTTGCATCGGCTTTGAGTGATATTGAAAGCCGCCTTTGCCTTGGCTTTGAGTACTGAAAGCTGCCTTTGCAACAGCTTTGAGTGATTACTGAAAGCCACCTTTGCCTCAGCATTGAGTACTGAAAGAAGCCTTTGCGTCGGCTTTGACTTAGTACTTAAAACCTCCTTAGCCTCAGCTGTGAGTACTGAAAGCTGGCTTTGCCTAAGCTTTGAGTAATGAAATCCGCCTTAACCTCAGCTTTTAGCGAGTTCTGTAAACCGGACTTTCCTCAGCTGTGAGTGTCTACTGAAAGCCACCTTGGCCTCAGCTATGATTGAGTACTGAAAGCCGCCTTTGCCTCAGCTTTGAGTATTGAAAGCCACCTTTGCAGCAGCTTTGACTGAGTACTTAAAGCCGCCTAAGCCTCAGCTTTGAGTGAGTACTGAAAGCTACCTTTTCCTAAGCTCTGAGTGACTACTGTAAACTCCCTTAGCCTCAGCTGTGAGTGATTACTGAAAACCGCCATTGCTTCAGCTTTCAGTACTGAAAGCCGCTCTTAACTCACCTTTGAGTGGTTACTGAAAACTGCCTTTGCCTCAGCTTTGAGTAATGAAAACCACCTTTGCCTCAGCTTTAATTACTGAAAACACCTTTGCCTCAGCTTTGAGGGAGTACTGTAAACCGGCTTTGCCTCAGCTGTGAGTACTGAAAGCTGCCTTTGCCTCAGCTTTGCATGACTACTGAAAGCCACCTTTGCCTCAGCTTTGAGTACTGAAACCGGCCTTTCCCTTAGCTTTGATTAAGTATTTAAATCTGCCTCTGCCTCAGCTTTGAGTGAGTACTGAAAGCCATCTTTGACTCAGGTGTGAGTACTGAAAGCCGCATTTGCCTCAGCATTGAGTACTGAAAGACACCTTTGTGTCAGCTTTGTGTGAGTAATGAAATCCGCCTTTGCCTCAGCTGTGAGTACTGAAAGCCTCCTTTCTCTTAACTTCGAGTGACTACTGAAAGCTGCCTTTGCCTCAGCTTTGAATGACGACTGAAAGCTGCCTTTGCCTCAGCTTTGAGTGAGTACTGACAGCTGCCTTTGCCTCAGCTTTGAGTACTGAAAGTGGACTTTGCGTCAGCTTTGAGTACTGAAAGCCACCTTAGCCTCAGCTTTGAGGGTGGACTGAAAGCTGCCTTTGCCTCAGCTGTGAGTAGTGAAAGCTGCCTTTGCCCCAGCTTTGAATGACGACTGAAAGCTGCCTTTGCCTCAGCTGTGAGTACTGAAAGCTGCTTTTTTTTTTTTGCGTATCTGGTGCAGCTGATAGGAGCTGGGTGCTGGAGCAGCATGGAGCCAGGTGGCTGAATGTACTTGGTTTCACTGTGAGGGCAGTTCAGGCTGGGTCACCTTCTGGCTGCTTGAGGCTGGGTCACCAGGCTATTAGAAGGAGCAGTGGTTATTTTGTAGTGTCAGTACATGTGCCAGGCAGGATAGTTCCCTTCTGTTCATCTGTCTTGTAGTGTTTCTTCTGCAGCGTGTGTTCTGAGTTATGCTCTCCTTGGGCCTTGATATCCACCTTTCTTTTTGCACTGGACTAGGCAGGCAACTTGGTAGCTGCACCAAAGGTCCTAAATGCTTGTTTTGTCATCATGGGTCTGATCCGAGCACTTCTTGTCTTGCAGTCGCTGCTTAGAGTGCAGATCTGTTTCCGGTCTTGTGCATCATATTCGGTTTCAGATCGCATCTGTTTCCATCCTCACTTTTGCAGAAGTCATCTGGGTCACATCAGGAGCTCTTGCTTGGGAATTCATTTCCTAAGCGTTTTCTTATGGGGTTTGCACTCCCTATCCTTCTGGTCTCTTGTCTTAAAGGCAGGATTTCTATGCCTCCATCATCCCAGTTCTGGCAGTTGCTTCCAGTTGCATGTCGTGGCATTTGAGTGTCTCCTTGGGTCTGCTGCAGAGCACCTGTTCTGACTCGCTGTTGCTGTAGGGCTTCCCTCTGGGAGTTGCTGCTTCTTCCACCTTGTGTTCTGTGTGTTGTTGGTAATGTTTGTAGCGTGCCTCTGTGTGTTTGGTCTGGAGCTGTCCTGCCTGGCAGTTAGTGATGATAGCTAATGTGGCAGTCCATACTAATACATTGTCTGGACTGCTTTGGCAAAGACATCCAGTCTGCCTCTGGGCACGTACTGAAGGGCAGCTGGCACAGAGTCATCTCTGTGGTGTTTGCAGATGTGGAGGGGGAGACTCGAGCTGCTTGCAAGCAGCTGTTTGCATAGTGCTTGAACAGTGTGCTGGAGGAGGTCTGTTGAATCTTGAAAGCTTACAGACATGGGGTTCTGAAACTTTTATTTTTTTCTTTCCCCTCCCCAGTGGAGTGTAAACCTTAGGAGGAACTGGTCACAGGAAAGAGCTCCTTCTGGAACTGCCCAGTACTTGGTAGGCAACTCGGTGACTGGCTTGATCTACTTTTCAGGTGCTGAGGCAAGGGGGCTGCTGTTTTGAAATGATAAAATTAGAAATGGGGCCCCTCGTGTTGTTGAGGGGTGGGTGCTAATGCTGGTAGCTGAATGATTATCTTCTGACTGTTTTCATTTGTTAAAGCTGAAACACAGTGTACAACACGGGACTTGACGACCAGAGCTGCTTTTGGCAAGGTGAGCGATGAACAGATGTAGCAGTTAATTTAAGGGTGCGGTTGTCACTGCAGTTACTTAACTACACAAAATACAGTAAAAATCCTGTTTATATTTCAGAGGTGTTGTAGCTGGCCTAAGAGAGCAGATGGAAGCATCTGCCTTGAGGGCAGGTGAGGGGGCAGAGGTGAGGGAGCAGATGAGAGTAACCGTCCTAGCTGTGCTGTGGCTTTGGATGCTGCCTCAGCCTATGCTTTTCTTCTTCTTTTGCAGGTGTCTCGCACAGGCTCAGAGGGGCCAAGCTGCACTCTGAAGAGCAGCACAAGAAGGGCGGTCTGGTCACGAGCTGGGTTGGAGCAGATGTAGTGGGTTTACGTGGAAAAGTTTTGGTAGCAGGGGGCCATAGGGGTGGTTTCTGTGAGAAAGATCTAGAAGCTGCCCCATGTTTGGGAAGGGCCCCATTGTTTTCCAGAGCTGAGCCAATAAGCGATGTTGTTTTGCGCCTCTGTGAGAGCATATTTAAGACAGGGGGAAAAAAAAAAAAAAAAAAAGACGCTGCACCACACAGCAGCTGGGAGAGTGAGAGGAGTGAGGAACGGCACCAAGGTCAGTGTAGAAGGAGGGGGAGAGGTGCTCCAGGTGCCGGAGCAGAAGTTCCCTGCGGCCTGTGGTGAGGACCATGGTGAAGCAGGATGTCCCCCTGCAGCCCATGGAGTACCACAGTGGAGCAGGGTTCCACGCTGCAGCCCATGGAGGAGACCACGGTGGAGCAGGTGGCCCTGCACCGATAGAGGCTGCGGCCTGTGGAAGACCCCTGCCGGAGCAGATTCTGGGCCGGACCTGTAGCCCGTGGAGAGGAGACCACACAGGAGCAGGTGACCTGGCAGGAGCTGCTGCCCATAGGGGAGCCAGGTTGGAGCAGTTTTCTCCTGAGGGATGGACCCCGTGGTACGGACCCATATCTGGAGCAGCTCTGGAAGAGCTGCTGCCTGTGGGAAGCCCACGCCGGATCAGTTCATCAAGGACTGCATCCCGTGGGTGGGACCCCACAGCACAGGGGACGAGAGTGACCGAGAAGGAGCAGCAGAGAAGAAGCGCTGTAGACTGACCATAACCCCCATTCCCCTGCGCCGCTCGGGGGGAGGAGGTGGAAGAGGGTGGATGGGGGAAGGGGGAAGGTGCTTTTGGTTTCTTTCCTTTGTTTCTCACTTCTCTAGCTTGTTAGTAATGAGCAATAAATCTTACTATCTTCTTATGCTGAGTCTGTTTTGCCCGTTACAATAATTATTGCGTGATTTTCTTGTCCTTATCTCAAGCTTTGAGCCCTTTTCATCATATTTTCTCCCCATTCCTCTTTGAGGAGGGGGAGTGAGAGAGCGGCTGTGGTGGAGCTCGGCTGCCTACCTGAGTAAAACCACGACAGCAGAATCACCAAGTAGCACAAGGTGACTGCGAAGGGTATCCATCTTGCTTTGCAGCTGCCGTGGCAGGCTCTCCACAGAAGTGGCTGAGGATTTGAGAAGAGGTTACAGAGCATCAAGGAGCGGCACGTGCAGTGATGGCTTCCAAATGGTATGGTTGCTTTCTCTTCTGCTTATCAGCTGTCACAGGCAATATGGGCTGTGACGTTAGTCTTCAGAATCAGAGCAAAGCAGGTCACTTGAATGCTGCAGGGCATCTGAGAAGGGTGTTTTAGCAGAAAAAGCTTGTCTGGTATGGTGGTGCCTGATGGCAGTGTGTTTCTGCAGGTGAAGAGGTACCTAAAACCCCATCCTATCTAGCCTGTGCACACCTATCTGAGAATGAAAGCTGCTTTCCAGTAATTCAGAAAGCCAAGTTACATCTCAGCCTTGAGCATCTGGGGCCTGTGCCTGGGCTTTTGAGCCTGTCTGTAACACTTGGCACCAGCACTAATACTTCTTTTGGCGTATGTTGAGGGTTTGAGGCCTGTGTCTGGGATTAGGGACCTGTCTGGAGCCATTGGGGCCTTTGTCATGGGTTTTGGAGCCTTCCTGTAGAGTTCAGGGCCTGTTTTTAGGCTTTTGGGGTCTGCATCTGGGGGTGGGGGGGTTGGGGCCAGTGTCTGGGGGGGGAGCTGCTTGTAGACCATTGAGGCCTGTGTCTCTCAGGGGTGGGGCATGCCTCTGTGGGGTGGTTGTTGGGAGCTGCTTGTGTACTGTAGGGGCCTGCATTGGGGGGGATTGGGAGGTGGTTGTAAACCTTTGGGCCTCTATCTGGGGGAGGTTTGGGAGCTGCTTGTACACTGTAGGGGCCTGGTTATGGGGGAGGGTTGGGGTTGTTTGTGCACCTTTGAGGCCTGTGCCTCTGGGGGGTCAGGGCCTGCATCTGGAGGGGGTTGGGAGCTGCTTGTATGCTGTAGGGACCTGTGTCAGGTGGGGGGGTTGGGAGATGGTTGGTACAGCTTTGGGGCTTGCATGTGTGGGGGGTTGGGGCCTGCCTGTGGGGGTGGGAGCTGCTTGTACAACTTTGAGAGTTGCACCTGAGGGGTGGTTGGGAGGTGCTTGTACACTGTAGGGTCCTGCCTTGTGGGGGTTTGCAGCTGCTTGTACGCCTTTGGGGTCTACAGCTGGGGGGAGTTGAGAGGTGCGTGTCCACTGTAGGTGCCCATGTTGAGGGAGTTGGGAGCTGGTTGTGTACCTTCTGGGTCCTATGTCAGGGGTGTGGTTGGGGCTGTTTGTACACCTTTGGGGCCTGTGGGGGGTGGTCAGGGCCTACATCTGGGGATGGTTGGGAGCTGCTCGTACACTGTAGGGGCCTGTGTTTGGGGGGGGTTGGAGCCTGCGTCTTAGGGGGCGGTTGGGAACTGGTTGTACAGATTTGGGGCTTGCATCTGGTGAGTTGGAAGATGCTTATACATGCTAGGGACCTGTGCCGGGGGGCGGGTCTGGGTGGGGTCCAGCTTTTGTTGTTTTTTTTTGTTTGTTTGTTTTGTTTTTTTTTGGGGGGGGGTTAGGGAGCTGCTTGTGGACAGTTGGGGTCCGCATCTGGGTGTGACTGGTGCCTGCTTTTGTGGGTGGTTTGGGTCCTGTTTGTAGACTTCTGCAGCCTGCATCTGGGGTTTGGGGTCATTTCTGTGGCGTTTGGAGTCTGTATTTTTGGCTTTGGGATGCGTCTTGGGCTTTTTTGTAGTTTCCATCTTTGTCTGTGTGTTTGTTTCCTTGTTGGTTGTCTGGGGTTAGGGGCAGTTTGGGGTTTGGATTAAGGTCAGTGTCATTAGCGTTAGGGGGTTGATATTAAGGGTTAGGGTTGTGGTTAGAGTTGTTAGGCTTAAGGGGAATAAGGGTTTTAGGGAAAGAGGATCAAGGTTGTAGGAATAAAAATGTTGGTTTTGCGCGGTTACATTGTTTAGAGGGAAGGAAGGTGGTATTGTGATATGCTTGCAGTGATAAGAGAGCTTAACAGACAACCTTGTAAAATGCAGACAACCAGAATCCTTACAGGAATTAGGTGGAAATCACGGTGTAAGAAACATTACCACCTCAAAGAGTAAAAACCTCAGAAGAAATCTGACTTGTAACAGGCCAGCAGCTGTGTCTTGTCTGTGAAGCACCAGATGGATTGTGAACCTGGATTACCCAGTCAATGGGGAAACGGGGGAGGGTCCCAGTCCTTGAGAGGAACAAAAAAGTATATAAACTGTGTATGGAATTAGTAGGTGCCCTCCTGCTTGTGGGACGCCTGTCATTGCAATCGCGAATAAAAATGCTACTTTACTGAGATCCTCGCCGGAGCCTATGTTATTAGCTACAGAGTGTTTCTAACAGGGTGTTATGGTTTTAAGTTTTCAGGGCTAGGGCACTAGGGTTTTCAGGGTTTAGGGTTAGGATTATAAGGTTTTTAGAGTTAGGAATATTAAGGTGGATAGGGTTTTAAGGATCTGGCCGTTAGGGTTTTTGAGTTTTTTGGGTTGTAGTGTTGATACGGTTTTTAGGATTAGGGTCTTAGGGTTTTATTTTTGGTCAGATATTTAGGGTTAGGGTTTTAAGGTCTTAATTTCTTTTTCTTTTTTTTTTTCAGGTTAGGTTGTCCAGGACTATGGTTTTGAGGGTCTTAAATTCTCCCATGCCGGGAGATGTAGTTCTCGGCAACTAGGGTTAGGGTTTAGTATTAGCTTTAGGGTGTAGGGTTAGGGTTGTAAGGGTTTATAGGGTTAGGGCTTTAGGGTCATTAGGGTCAGGGTTTACTTCTTGGGGTTAGGGTCATTGGGGTTGGGGGTTAGGGTTGGGGCCGTTGGGGGGTTGGCGTAAGCAGTAGGGTTAGAGTGGGGTCCGGTGGGGGGTTGGCGTTTAGGAGAAGGGCTAGGGAGTGGGGCTGTCCAGGGTTGGGGCCCTCTGGTGCTGGCGTTAGGAGAAGGGTTAGTGCTTGGGGCCATCAGGGGCTGGGGCTGTCTGGGGTTGGCATTAGGAGAAGGGTTAGTTGTTGGGGCCATCCGGGGCTAGCGTTAGGAGAAGGGTTAGGGGTTGGGACTCTCCAGGGTTGCGTCCAAGGGTTGACGTTAAGAAATGTGTTAGGGTTTGGGGCCATCCGGGGTATGCGTTAAGAGAAGGGTTAGGGGTTTGGGGTCGTCCAGGTTGGTGTTAGGAGAAGGGTTAAGGGCTGGGGCTGTATGGGGTTGGGGCCAGGGGCTGGCGTTAAGAGAAGGGTTAGGGCTTGGGACCATCCGGGGTTGGGGCTGCCTTTTGTTGGGGATGTCTGGGGTTTGGGCCGTCCGGGCTTGGCTCTAGGAGACCGGTTAGGGTTTGGGGCCGTCAGGGTTTTGGGCCAAGGTTTAGGGTTAGGGATTGGGGCTGTCTGGGGTTGGGCCGGGTGGAGGTTGGAGCCAGGGGATGGCATTAGGAGAAGTGTTAGTGTTTGGGGCTGTCTGGGATTGGCGTTCGGAGAAGGGTTAGGGCTTGGAGCTGTCTGGGGTTGGCATTAGAGGAAGGGTTAGGGGTCTGAGACGTCTGCAGTTGGCATTAGGAGAAGGGTTAGAGGTTGGGGCCGTTCGGGGTTGGTGGTAGGAGAAGGGTTAGGGGTTGCGAGCGTCCGGGGTTGGCATTAGGAGAAGGGTTAAGGGCTGGGGCCATCTGGGGTTAGAGCCAAGGGTTAGCATTATGAGAAGGGCTGGCTGTAGGGGCAGTCTGGAGTTGGGGTCAAGTGTTGGCCTTAGGAGAAGGGTTAGGTGTTGGGGCTTGTCCTGGTTTCAGTTAGAACAGAGTTAATTTTCTTCCTAGTAGCTGGTGGAATGCTATGTTTTGGCTTAGGATGAGAAGAGTGCTGATAACACCCCGATGCTTTAATTGTTGCAGAGCAGTGCTTATACTAAGCCAAGGACATCTCAGCTTCTTGCTCTGTCCTGCCAATGGGCAGGCTGGGGGTGCAGTAAGAGCTGGGAGGGGACAGACCCGGGACAGGTGACCCAAACTAGCCAAAGGGGTATTCCATACCATCTGACGTCATGCTAAACAATATA